AGACGGTACGTCAAAATCACTTATGAGTGAATAGGAACTTGACGTCGTTTTTGGATTTGTAGAATAGGCATGTAACGCCCTCAAAATAATAACATTAAACCCATCAATATAAACATACAATTATATACAAAAGATCCACATTCCCTCAATTAATCTGAGTACTTCAATACAAAAGTATTACACGTTAACAACAAAAGTAAATGCCCTGCGGGCTTACAGCTTTCCAAGTTATCACTTGGTTACAAAAGAGAGTATTAACTCGATTACACATTAAGCCCTTGGCTTGAATTTACATGTAATACATCAAAAGGAAAATAAGGCAACAAAAGTATGTCCTGCCCCTAGCCTCCCAAGCTATGTCCTTAGAGGCGGCATGCTACCTGTACCTGAAAATGATGTTCCCATATAGGGTGAGTGTAACAACCCTCATACTGTTTACTGATTAGGGACTGATTGATTACCAATAATCACCGATTACTGCTAAACGGAACTGATGATGACTGATAACTGACTGATAATTGAACTGATTAAAGTACTGAACTGACTGACTGAAATTGGAAAATCTAAGTAAACCTAGTGGAGTATGGTATGATACTCTTCATAAGAATTACCTATATGAATGTGAACTGGGCTGGTTCTATGAGATTTGTGTAGGGCTACAATTCTCTAGAGCACTCATGAAAGACCAGGTTGTTCAGGGCAAAAATGAACACAACAGTGAGAACTAAACTGTGTTTGGTAATATACTGTGTGAGTTCTATTGTCTTGGTTTACAAAAACGGCTGAACAGTTCAAAACATCATGTTCACTGGTTAGCTAGTAAATCTGATAGTGTCTCACAAAAGAAGGTTCAAAACCAAAATCTACCTATCCTTTGCAGAATATTTCTAATTTCTGTACTTTCTATAATTAGATCATATTGTTGCATTTTCTTTCTGTCAAATTCTATTCATGTGGAGGATTGTTGGAAAATTTGATTTTTATAGGCTTATTTTGGGGCAACTTTTAGTGGGTTCCAAACGTCTTTTGGGGTGGGTCCAAAGAGGTGACGTGTTTCTTGCTGTATGGCAAGTCACACGGTGAAGACGGTACGTCAAAATCACTTATGAGTGAATGAGAACTTGATGTCGTTTTTGGATTTGTAGAATGGACATCTAAAAAATTTAATGTGGGTTTCCTTGTAAGGCTTGACCCACATTGAATTTGAAGAGAACTTATGTGTGTATATAAGTTCTAGGTGATAACATTTGGGTTGGGCCTCAAGGTGTACCCCAAGTTTGTAGAAGGGAGAAATTATGGACAAATGGAACCTTGGCTCAAATCACCACCACTCGCGCTGCCGCCGTCCGTTCGGCCGTACCGGGCGCGAGTATGGGTTGCAGGTTTGTTCGGTTCTAATATTAATTTTTTGAACAAAATTCATTTTAATTTTTTCAAAAAAAATTCTTGCAGCAAGTTAATTCAAATTCGCACCAAATTTGAATTTAAATTTTTTGTTCAATATTACCTTCTCTAGTCCATTTTTTCTGAACAGATTAAACTGTCCAAACAGTTTTCAAATCTGTTGCACCCGGATAGATTCAAATTGCCCAGAACATATTTAACTGCTGTGCAGTTTTCTATTGAAACTACCAGATCTGTTTGAAATTCAAACTGTATACAGTTTGAATTTGCATTTATTCACTTCATATATGTACCTGTTCGGGTCTATCAAATCAGATTCATTGCTAGCAGTTTTGGGGGCTAAAAAACATCCTAAAAAATATTTTTCCTTTCCAGTTTTGCTCTTTGGTTGCATTATTCTTCATATTATTTTAATTAGGAAAAATAAAGAGAGTATAGAACACAAGGTTTTGTTCGTCGTACAAATTGTTTGGAGTGCTACTACAATTTGTGAAAATCATTGTATCATGGGAGATAGACGCCTTTTATCCGTAAGCATCGTAGTAAGGCGAATCTGTCTTAAGGATAGAGTGTTATACACTCGACTTGATCTTTTAAATATTTATTCGGTTTAGTAAAATAAATTCGGTAAGTAATTTATTTTATTTGTTTGATTTGTTTCATTACTTTATTGTACACAGAAGATTGTTCCAACACTATTTAATTATGAATAATAATCTTATCATTGTTACCTATATTATATTGTTATAAAATATTTTACATATTACTTTTTATGATATCTTATATATGTCAGTGTCTACTTGTATAAATATATAAAATAAAATTAAAAAAAAAACATATAAATGTAAATTTATATATGTTACTGTATTCATACAATGTTAATCTGTAATGCTATATCACCATCGGATATTTTTATTTTTTAACATGTATCACTTTAGTAATATAATTATATTTGCTAGAAAAAACCTACGAAATTGTGTATTATTTTCCTATCAACTTATATTCAATACATATATACATACATGTCATACAAACAAATGTCCACGATGAACACTTTTAATAACAAACAAAGACTTTGCAAAATACCTCAATCACGACAATAATTGTTCTTTTTTTTCCCTCTACAAAAAATCCCATTGTTAAGGATAAATGGATTTTAAAATTCGTAACAAGCTGATATTGTCTCAAACTCTTACTCATCCAAACATTTTTATGATAATGAATTATAACGGTGAAACAAAAATATAAAAGATCTATTGCAACATGCTCTCAAATAGAAGTTAGGCGAGTTGAAGCAATAATTATTTTATTTGTTGCAAAATTCAAGAAAAACAATGTACCTTATGGACACATTTTAGTCAAATTATAAGGAAAATATCCAATGATGCCCAAATATTATCATAGCAACTCAATGATGCAGAAAATAAGTATATCAAATAAAAAGTTTCAATCAATTTTTGTCATATGCTGATTACTAACAAATGACATAATAAATTATGTAACTTGATAATTTCATGAAAGTGACCCTACAAACACTTATAAGTATGGATCTATAAATACCGTGAAAACAATTATGAAATTCCTATATCGATCGAAATATTAAGTTACAATATCATTCTATTTTTCTAAAATAATATTCCACATTTTCTACATAAATGAAATTATACTAATGGCTAATATTATATTTTTTATCATGCAAGATATTCGTAGCACAAGAAATGAGGCTCAACAACTTTTGATATATAAAAATATATTACATATAGATATTAATGCATTCTTACACTAATAATAGCAATAATGGGTTCAATGAATTTGTATTATGAGATAAACTATTAAACAAAATTGTGCAATTAATTTCATACATTCAATTGTATTATAGGTACGGATTATGAAAAATTGAAGTAGGAAGTCGATAAAAAAATATTTGTGTAACACTATATATTTAAATAACTTTTTATTATTTATTGTTTAAAATAAGATTGTGATCTCAATAATCTAACTATAAATTAATGTTTATGTTTATAAAATTTCCTGTTTATCATTTAAATTTGTATTCATTTATTACTTGGTTGTATTTTAGGTACATATCAATTTATCTATACAAAACTCTATACTTTGTATATATATCATATACCAATTTAAGAGATACGTATAATTATAATATTGATTTTTGATGAAAAATTATGTGTCACGTGTAACTTACGTGCCCAACCACTTAGAAATGTGTAAATTACGGATATTTTTATCATTTATTTGAAAGGTAAAACGCACTTTAATCTCTATGTTTTATTTCATGTATGATTTATCCATTTAAAATTTGAAAATGAACCTATAACATCTTTATATCTGGCACTTATTATTAAATTAGACAAAATATTTAATGGTGCTTAAATTTACAAATCATAAAAAATTGTGTAGTTAGTTTCAAACGAGACAAGTAATCCGCCCATAGACTAAAGCAAAAGGGGGTAAAGTGAATGACCTTCCTTCATTATAGAATTTGAGGCGAGGGATGTTCGTCTTTACACTCGTTGTGGAGTGTTCTTAATTTTTTTTAGGTAAATTATAATTACATTTTTAAAAATTTGTTTAAAATATAAATCATTTTTTGTGATTCTTCAAATTATATTTCATTTTATGAGGTTTATAATTTCACAACAAATAATTAATTTTATTAATAAAATCATCAAGTTAATTAATTTTTAAAGATGTTAGAAATATATTTTAATTAATAATTTAAATAATTTAATTATTATATAAGAAAGCAGTTAAAAATTTTATTTTTTGAGTTAATTACCTCCTAAAAGTCTTATTTACAAATATTATGGTAGTTTAGGTCATATTTAAGATTTTTTTAAACCAATAAGTCATATTTGTAAAGCTGAGAATATTATCAGTTTTTTTCTCAATTTTTAAAACTAAGAATATTATTAATTTTACATAATAATATTCCAGATAATTATTTCACTAACTGATGAAAAAACTAAAGCATGAGATTAAACGTTTTTGCCTTTTTATTTATTGGTTTGATTCAACTATCCAATAAAATAGAGGACATTATCAATTTTTTCATTTTCAATTTTTTTTTTTCAATTTTGCACATTAATGTTCCATCATCATACTCCTTTATAGATACAAAATTTTCAGTTTTGCACAAAAAAATTATATATACTTTTTATTTTTTCAAAAAAAAATGTTAGTTTTTTTTTTTGGCCCATAAATTTTTTTTCTTAGTTTTTTCAATTTGAATGTTGATATTTTAAAATTTAAAAATCAAAATAAATGTCAAATTATCATATTCTTTTATAGATAATTATAAATGATGAATAATTATTGTTTGAAGGTTAATTCCGACTATTAAAAATTTAATAAGACTTGAAGGTTAAAAAAATATTAATTAGGACTTAATGGAGTATATAAGTTCATAAATTAAGATTTGTGTGTAAATGTTTAATATAAAACATTTTAATATAAAAATATTTATAATTTTTTAAATTATAAAAATAATCTGTATTTAAAACAAATTTTAAGAATGTATTTGTAATCTATTTATTTTTTTTTGACCAAAGATGTTAATTTTTGTTAGTAAATGGATCGCTGCCGCTCGAGCACCATTTCAACCGCTAAACTTCCTCTCACCAGGCTACAAGACCACGGGGCGAAACTCAAACCCAAACCCAAAGGTCTAACGGGTGTTCATAATTGGGGCTCTGACGAATTATTAGCTTTGAGAGTGGTTGTTGTGTGAGCCGATGAAGTAGACCAGTCAAGAACGAAGAATCAAAGGCCGCATCACACTTTCCTCCTCAAGGACTCTCTAAACCACATTCTTCTTACTACAACAAGCAGGTCCACTCTTCTTCTTCTTCTTCTTCTTCTTCTTCGTTTGATATGCTATTTGAATTTATCACAATTTCTGAGTCTGTTAAGATTTTTTTTTTTAATTTTTTTGAAGATGGGTAAGAAAATTCAGAAAACAGTTCTGGAATATGGGTATTGCTTGCTTACAAGTTCTATGGAAATGAAATGGGCACATGTTTTTTTTTTTTTTAAATTATTTATTTATAGATTATAGAATTTTAGTCACTACAACATACATGGAATCAAAAACATCACCAAGGATGGGAACATTTTCAGTTTGTCACAATTGTATGTTATTGTGATGAACTGAAACACTAACATAATGAAATTTCACCAATAATGATGTATGTAATGGGTTTGTTTCAGGCTTATCAATTTCAGTATTGTATTTCTGACTTATTGCATTTTTAGTGAGAATTATCAAATTCAATTTAAGAATATTATGTGATATATAGGCTGTGGTAGAGTTCAAATTTTGCTCAATTGGTAATAGGTGAGGTGTCAGGTTTCTCATATCCTTTGGCCTTCGATTTAATATCAAAATCTAAAATTTGGCTGCTGTCTAGACTTGTAAAACCTAAGTTTTCAGAAAATTATGCTAGCTGAAAGTTCGACACCCAAGCCTGTTTTGCCTCCACAACTGTCCAACATCAATAGTTGTTCTTGTTGAATTCTTGAGTCTTCTGACTCTTCTCATAGGAAATATAACCAGCACAAACTAGAGATGAACTTGGGTTAAATTTTTGAATAGTGATTCGCTTTCGGGTTAGTAAATTAAACCTACTTAGTGTTACAAACCACAATATTCGTTTTACATATTAGTAATAGTTGATATGTGATGATGTGCATAGTACTGTAAAAGAAAATTTCATGCAAGTATATTTCTTATGCAAGTATATGTTTTAACTGGGGTTAGCAGCCTTCTCGGGTTAATTTGATCCAAAATTTTTGTACGTGCTCTTCAATAATATATGAATTAATTGCAAATCTAATCTTGACATGTTTGTTTACCTTATAACACGAGTATGCATTATGTCAATACTAATAATAAGAACCTTTCTTTCTTATTTTTGACAAAAGTTGAAATCTTAGAATTACAATTTTTAGGTGGTATTGATCTAACCAGTGGATCATGCTAAATTCATATATCAATTGGCATGTCAAAAGAGAAAAAAAATGATGATACCCTTGGAAATCACAACATTGGTTGCGATACTTTCACATAATTGGCATTAAGTATCCGTATATCACAATTAGTTTGAATAACACTTTACGCTATAAAAAAAATGAAAAAAAGATTTATGATGTACTGACCAGTTAGAGAAGCTAGTCAATTTTTGTTTGCAGTTTCTGAGTGTTATTTAAATTTTCTTCATGTTTTTTTCATGCTATTAACAAGAATGAGTTTGACTGATGCAGGACAACAGAGGATGATGTCTTTAACGAGGTTGAATTTCCTCCATCTTCATCTCCATCTCCATCTCCATCTCCATCTCCATCTCCACCTCTCATTGTAAAAGCTGTGGTTACCTAGAAAGGAACCATTCATTCCCTTACAAAGAGAAACAGAGAAATTGAAGAAAATGAATAATGTGATTTCAGCACAATCTTCTACACAAATGATACAGACTCTACACTTACAGCATGCCTTCTCCAAAACTAGTAAACCAACATTTGTTCCCATAACCCGATTCAATAAACCTTTCCTTTACAATAATGATAATAATTTCAAAGAGAATAAGAGTTGTAATCTTCAAAGCTGCTGCCTTGGGGTCTCCGTCGTTGATTCTGTTTCGGGGGAATCATTGTCCACCCACCAGGTGCTCGATGAAATGCCTCTTTCAGATACATTTCCTTGGAATAGTCTTATCCAGACCCATCTCACCAATGGTGATTTTTACCAAGCGGTGTTGATGTATGGGCAAATGTTAGCCCGAGGTGTTCGCCCCGACAGGCACACTCTCCCTCGCGTTTTAACCGCTTCTCGCCTTTTGAAATCATTATTCGTTGGGAAACAGATACATGGGCAGGCTCTCAAACTTGGTCTCTTTTCTGATCGCTACGTAGTCACTGCACTGATGGAATTGTATGGTCGTCTTAGCAGTGCTGATGCTGCCAAATGGGTGTTTGACAAATCCCCTCAGAGTCCAAGGAATTCTGTGGTTGCTTGGACTATGTTGATTGGGTTGTATGTTATAGAAGATAAACCCCGATTGGCCGTTGACCTGTTCAATCAGGTGGTGGACTCTGGGGCTGCTGACATTGATTCGGTGGTATTAGCCACTGCTATTGGTGCTTGTGGGCTACTTAAATCACTGCAAGAAGGGAGAAATGCTCATCGGATTGCTAGGGAACATGGGTTGGAGTTTGATGTTTTGGTGGGCAATTCCCTTATGAAAATGTACATTGATTGTGGCAGTCTCAGAGATGCTCGAGCAGTCTTTGATAGAATGCTGGTAAAGGATGCCATTTCATGGACTGAAATGTTTCGTGGGTACGTGAAGAAAGGAGGGTTCAATGAGGGTCTGAAATTATTTCGGCAGATGAGCGTGGAGCAGGGAATAAGACCAGATTCTCTTGCAATATCCAGCATTCTCCCAGCTTGTGCAAGAGTAGCAGCCCATAAACATGGCAAAGAAATTCATGGGTACTTGGTAAGAAACGGGATTGACTTGAACCTTACGGTACGGAATGCTGTAATGGACATGTATGTAAAATCAGGATCAATTGAATATGCTTCCAGGATATTTTTAGGGATGAAGGACAAGGATGTTATTTCATGGACTGTGATGATATTGGGCAATAGTTTACATGGATATGGAGAGCTTGCAGTGACTATGTTCCGCGAAATGGAGAAAAACTCCAATGTAGAAATAGATCCCAAAATGTATGTTGCAGTCCTCTACGCTGCTTGTACTGCCCGCTTGGTTGAAGATGGTAGGTTCTACTTCAGCTGCATTAGGGCACCTAAGGTTGCACACTGTGCTTTAATAGTAGGTCTTCTTGCTCGTTCTGGGCTTTTCGATGAGGCTAGGACCTTTATTGAGGAAAGAAAGCTTGCACGGCATGCAGAGGTGCTGAGAGCTTTGCTAGATGGTTGCAGGATCCACCAAAATGCTAATGTAGGAAAGCGAGTCGTCGAGCAGCTATGTGATTTGGAGCCTCTAAATGCGGAGAACTATGTGTTACTATCAAACTGGTACGCACACAACGCAAAATGGGACATGGTCGATAAATTGAGAGAAACTATCAGAGACATGGGTTTGAAGCCTAAGAAAGCTTATAGCTGGATAGAGTTCCAGAACAAAATTCATGTGTTTGGTACAGGGGACGTATCCCATCCAAGATCAAAGAAGATATATTGGGAACTAGAGAGTTTGATGAAGAAATTGGATCAAGAAGGGTTTAGGCCTAAATCAGATTTCTGTCTCCATGATGTAGATGAAGAGCGAGAGTGCATTCCAATTGGTCACAGTGAAATGTTGGCCATTTCGTTCGGGCTCATTAGTACACAAGCAGGGGCGACGATTTGTGTGACCAAAAACCTACGTATGTGTCGCGATTGTCATGATTCCATAAGGTTTGTCTCTAAGATAGTAGACCGCGAGATCATAGTAAAGGACCAAATTTGTTTCCACCACTTTAAAGATGGATTTTGCTCTTGTGGAGATTTCTAATAATGTAATGGGCTTTTTTGCACTTTTTAATGTTTTAGTTGCTTGGTTGGTTGTCCTGAAACTGCAAATGGAAACATGTAAATGTTTTATTTTTCTCCTAGTTTATTTTTGTGTGCAGTTGCTGCTACAGTGTTATTTAAATTTTCTTCATGTTTTTTCATGCTATTCATAGAACATTTTTACTTTTTTGTTTCTGTTCTTTTCTTTTTATTTTAAAATTATTTTGGAAGCAGTATGCCTATGTTCATGCTTGCATGCTAGTGAAATAAAAGTTGTGATGTAATAAAATTCTTAACTTTCTTTCCTATACATCAATTTCCAAGCTATTGTTCTCATGAACTAATTCCTTGGTGTGTCTCAGGGTGTAGTCTGGGTTTTAGAACCAGAAAAGGTTCCAAAGTTGGGGCTCGTAGACAAAGCACCAAGAGATAAAAAGCAGAAGAAAGAAAACTTTGAGGTTTCCCCTGTCCAAAAATACGCAAAAGTCAAGGGTCAGTCACTCATTCTAACAAATTCCGATGGTTCTCACATAGAAATTCAGCTCAAGGGTTGCACAATAGCAGCTGTTTCTGCTACAACCTTATCTTCAAGAAAATGGTGAGGTCCTGAGCAAGCAGTCTGAAACCACCAACACAGTAATATTATTTTGGTTTCTGTATGAAGTTTCTTTGGGATCATGTGATGCAACTTTAACCATAAGTTCAAATCTACTGGAATGGAACCTAGGTGTGATGCCTAGACCTTTCAGTCTTTAAACCTCAAAATCAGATTTGTTTTGCCACCCCTCTTGTACCAAAAAACCATAATATACAATCTTTGAGTCCCTTTCCCTTCAATCCTTCTAACACTCTTGACTAACCAAAAATAACCTAAAATGGCAAAAGCACTATTGTCAGGTACTATTTCAGCGCGTCAAATAGTCCAAAATCCTCCCATTGTCTTTATCAAAGTAAGCTCAAACCCCTTATTCCCTGAATACACCATTATCCATAAAACCCCCATTTTTTACCAATCTTTCTGCTCCATAACCCAGCTTCAATTAGCCATAAATAGAGCTTTTTGCAGCTTCGGTACATTAATTTTGGGCTCATGCAGTTGTCCTACTCCACCCTAGGTGTGATTGCCTGAGTTTTTGCCCTTCTTTATCCTATTCCACTTCATTCTCTTATTTTCTGTGTCCAACAAAATCATGCATCAAACTAAGCTAGTTAAGGCTTTGATACCAACTGACCTAGCTGGAGGCAAGAATAGAAAGAAGACACCATCTTCAATATGGGGAAATCCCTCTTTTACTTCGAAGGCTGTCTTCCATTCATCCTCAAGCCTAATCCGAATTTCGTGATAATTGCTCTACATGTTTTGGAAACATTTTTGAACTGCTAGGCATATCAACATGTCATCCAGCTAGGAGATTGGAAACTGCACTTGGTTGTTGTTGCGTCAGTGTAGTATGCTTATGCAAATACATTTGCTAACCTTCATCCTCCTTTGGCATTAATAAGGTTGGAATTAGACGAGAACTCTTTCGTCAATTGATCCCTTTTGAATCATCTATTCCACCATGATTTCTCTTTTTATGATTCATGAAGTGTTAAAAAAGTAATAGCCTTTTGAAATTATCTAACTACTCTGGTAACAATTATGGGCCCAAACAGTTTCGAAATTATTAAAAATAAGAAAGAAAATCTTAAACACTTGGGTGCTATTTGGTAAAGTTTATAGTCTATTGTTTTTAGTTTATAGAAAATATTAAACATGCTTATGCTTATTTTTACTAACATTCCCTTTGAAAAAGTGAACTGTTTTTTTGGATACTAAAAAGTGGGATATTTAATTAGAAATTGTCTTGAGCTTTTTAAGAAAAGAGTAATGCTATACGTAAAGAAAAATTCAAAATTGTTCGTACACACAATGATTTGGCTTAATTGAGGCATTTTTCTTTAAAAGAGAACACCTATGAAGCAGCAACTACATTGTTCTCATTCAAAATTGTTATTGAATGAAGCAGCAACTACAATGGAGGTGGGTAAGCTTTTGGCTGTTGATTTTGGTGGTAATGAAGAAGAGGTATTAAATAAATTTATGGAAATGGAGGAAAGGGATCATAAGGCTTGGTTAAGGAATGGTGCCAATTTTCATAATCTGTGTTGTCATTACTTTTACTTGGAGACTAATGTGTGTGTGTTTTTTTTTTTCTTTTTTAATTTTTAAAAATTCTTTAAGGAGTTTTATTTCATGGATTATTCATGCGAGAAACTTGATTTTCAATGAGGAAAAGGCAAACAGCCTTTTTCCTTGAAGGATTGCATCGGTTTACCAAAGAAGAGGTGCAGGAATACCGCAAGAAGCTGAAGGATAGCCGGGACTGTATATTTATCCTCTTTGTACTAACATGGAATTTTATTTAGCTTATGCTTCTCTACTTATTTTTATTCCTTGGATATATTATTTGTCTCTCCTATTTGATGTATATGTATGGCTGTCTTAGTTCGTCTGATAGTATAACCATACATGTGTACAAGGGTTTGATGTTGGGGATGTCCCTGATAATGTAGCTGAGCTTGGTATGGTCAGACCACTCAAGGTTTCTGAGGAAAAGCATCCACTGGTGTATGAGATGTATAAAACAAGGGCACAGATAACTCTTGACAAATACAATACAACCTCAAGATAAACGCTGAAATTGTTTCTGGTGCTTTGTTTTATATTACCTTTCAGGCCAAGGATGCAACAGTCGAATTTTGCAGGCTTGAGAAGAAATGCTAATTGCTCAAAGGTGCCATTTGTTTTACTTGTGTATATTTATTATTATTGTTTAATTGGTTTGCAGATGCTTTCATGCAGTATTTTGCATTTGCTTTTCTGTTCTTCTTTTTATACACTTATGCTGAATTAAAGGAAGGCCATGACTTTCAGTTGCTAGGGTAGATTTGTAGTATCACTCATAATTTTAACTTTCAGTTGCTCCCTTGCACAACTGGAGGAATTCAAAAAATGTGAAGCCTCCCTACACTCCCCCGGCTAAGAATTATTTCCTTATAATGGTGAATGTTCTTATGGATGGAGAACCACAGCTGTCATGAAACGAGGTATCGACTTACGCATGTCTAGCTTACACAATACCCTTGAAATTTTTCAATCTCAATAGGTAAAATATTGATAGTACATTTGTAGATAGACTTAAAATATTGGAAAATATTTATGGGCACACTGTCCGGCATATTTTGGTTAACTGAGCTGCTACGTAACTCGAAAAAAGGTAGGCCCGAAATGGCTCGAATTCAAAATGACATCGTTTTGGATTTTTTTTTTTGTTGAAACAGGGAGAAGGAAGATGAAGAAGAAGAAGAGGGGAGGGAGCTGGAAAATATTCTGTACACAGATCAAAAAAAAAAAAAAAAACAAAAATAACAACACCAAATCTTCTTCTTCATCTTCTCCCCTCTCATCCCATTAATACAGCATCATCAACACACTACACAGACAGATCCAACAATCACAAAAACAAAACAAAACAAAAAAAAATTCTATACACAGATCATCAAAAAAAAAAAAAAACACCAGATCTTCAAAAAAAAAAAAAAAAAAAAACACCAGATCTTTACACTGCACAGACAAATCCAACAATCACAAAAACAAAAACAAAAATATTCTATACACAGATCATCAAAAAAAAAAAAAAACAACACACATCTATATATATATATATATATGAGAGAAAAAAACACCAGATCTTCTTCTTCATCTTCTCCTCTCTCATCCCATTAATACATCATCATCGACACACTACACAGACAGATTTATACACAGACATCTATATATATATATGAGAGAGAGAGAGGGCCACCCACTGGCATAGAGAGAGAGAGAGCTACCAACCGGCCAACCGGCGCCGCCATCACCACCATCACTGTCTCCTTCTTCTCTTCCTCCTCCTTTCTCTCATCTTTTCTCCTCCTTTTTCCTTCTTGCCTCCTCTCTTTCTTCTCTGTTTCAAAAAGGGAAGGGAACGACAATAAAAGAGGAAAAAGAAGAAAAAGAAAAAGAAAAAGGAGAAATATCCAAAACGACGTCGTTTTAGGTATTTGAGCCAATTCGGGGCAATGGTTTTCGAGCCCTCAAGTATTATTCTTTGGCTAAAAGTTAGTTTTTTTAACTTTTTTAAGTCATATCACATCTCTATTTTTTTTATCCAATTTTTCAAAAAAAGACAAAAAAATCAACTTTTAACTTACTTCTCAAAATAGGAAGGGTTGGCACATATTAATATGCATGTGAGTGAAGTATTTAAATTGAATCTGTTAAATAAAATTAGAAATTGCTTCAAGCAGTTAGTGTTACAAAATGGTATATACTTTATATGCAAGTTATGACATTTGTAGTGTTGTTTATTACAAATATTATAACTCAATCCTACGAGAGTTATAACTAAAAGAAAAATATGAGTTATAACCAATTATCATATAAGATACAATCAAAAAGCTTTTGAATCATAATTAACATTCAAATGAATTATAATTAATATTACAATATATCGTAACCAAAGATTACAAAAATTATAACTAAGAATACATATAGTACACACTAATTTCCATCTTACTAACATTTGTTCGAAATTTTGGTTAATTTTGCTCTCACCCTCTCTAGAATTCTACTTCTCATGTGTTTGTACTGAAATTAATTTATAGGTACGATCAAAATGCTTATTGAAATTATTTCATTTTTTAAAGAAATTTATTGAACATCACAAATTGAAACAGGCATTGTCAAAAAAAATAAAATAATAATAATTCAATTTTTAAAAGGATAAATGATAATAATAATTATTTGTGAATAGAACAGAATGAACAAAAATAATCAATCTGAGTAGTTTGACAAAAATTACGGCACCTTGAAGATAATTAAAGTTTAACTATAATTATTTGTTGGATATCATGGGACTCAGCAGAGGTCCGCATGAAACTATTTGAATTTTTTGTTTTGTTCAATTTTATGGGCAGATTATTCATTAAAAAAAAAAAAATTAGATTGATTTGATAGTCTTAGCATATGATTTTATAAAATTTGTTTACAAAACAAATGAATAGTTTTTTGTAAAATTATTTGTTATAGAGTTTTTGCAAATAAATATTATTAAAATATGCAGATATATTTATTAGATCAATCTGAATTTTTTTTATAAATAATTTATACATAAAATCAAACAAAATAAATTATTTGTATCATCGTGAGGCTTATGGTGTGTCATACAAAGCTCAATAGCACCACCCAAACCCTTCTAAAATTCTTTAAAATTTGAAGTTATTGGGCACACTTGGAACGATGCTTAAACACATGAATTATATTGCAAACACGGTTGGTTTGGCGTGTCTTAAAAAAGTGTATTTTTTATCTTTTTACGAAAAGATGTGCAGAAAAATAGAGAGGTGATGTGATGAAAAAAAGATAAAAAGATGAATCCCAAACCAACCCTAAATTAATTTAGGATCAGATGATGAAAGAAAAAATATAGAGGGGTTAGCTTGGGGATTGGACGGTCTTGTTTTGTCCTTGGGGTCCCAGGTTTTGTCTTTATAATTTGAACAGTTTATTTTTTAAATTATAATGTATAAATCATATATACTGTAACTATATTAATTTATCACATTTATTTACATAAAAATAAACGATAAATATTATTTGAAAACTAAGCTATCCATTTTTCAAGAAACAGATGTGACAAATGATTATCTCATCGACCTAATTTCTTACATAAATAATTTACACATTGTAATCTGAAAAAACAAACGGCTACAAAAGTACTTGCACATAGATAACATCAAGCAATTCAAAAAAATATTTATAAATAAAAATGAACGGCTTTGATTTTAGATCATTTCAACCATTCCTTCAAAATAAACCATAACTAAAAACAAATGTATATTAAAAAAAGTTTTGTGCATGTAAAATAGTTCCAAATATAAGCATGCCCATAAATTCCAACTAAACAAGAAACTAAAATCGTTAGCCCATACAAAGGCTCCATTTGGGAAGAGCTATTTGGGGTTTTTTTGGCTATTTTAGCCACAAAAGACAAAATAGGCTATTTTAGTCACAAAAAACAAAACATCTCATCAATTCCATAATCATTACACTCTTCTCTCACAAAAAAAGTCAAAAAAGCCAAAAAAGCTATTCTCAAACCAAGCATTTTAACCCAGGCTAAAATAGCCAAAAAAACCAAAAAGCCTACTATAATTAAAATTATACAATTTTTTTTTTTAAATTTATAAATATTTTATAAAAATACCACTGATTTGTAATTTTTCCTTTTTCTTTCCTCTCTTACTTTGTTTTCATTTTCATTTTCATTTTTTAGAAATTGATAACAAGAACGCGAATTGTTCTCCTTTTTATGAAAATAAAATTATTTTCAAAATTTTTCAAAAAAATAAAATAAAATCCCAAAGCTCCTGTTAATTCCATTCTGTGCTTGCTTCAGCACACCCTCTCTTGAAAATACATTCAATTTTATAGGATCCAGGTGGAATTAATCTTCAATCTCTGATGATTGATATATACATTTGGAGAAAGCTATTCAACTTTTTGCACCTCCTTCTCATTTAAAAATTAAATGTAATTTTATTCCCTTTACCATGAGAATTTGAAGGAGTGAAGGCCTGATTCATGAATTTTAATATTTTATTGTACTATTATTATTGCACTTACAAAAAGTCTGAATTTTGATTTGTATCCTTTCTTTCGCTTTGTTTTTTTCTCCTCTTTTGAAAAACTTATCAATAACCATAATCAGTGGACTAACAATATTTTTCACTAATGAAGAAAAAAGAAAAAAAAAACTACCATTGAAAACAAAAACATCAAAAATAAACAAAGAAAAGAACCAATAATATGATCTTAAGAAAGGGGAAATTTCATTCACCACCCAACACTAGAAACATCAAAACATCAATACCATACAATCCAAAGCCAAAAAGAACTCTACAAACCATCTTCTTCAACTTTTCCAATCATCCAAACACTTACCCCCCCACATATTTCATGTTATCTTGAACAAACAATTCACTCGTCCATTTCATCATCCTCATCAATTTCTTCAATCTTCATTTTCTTCACAGCCTGCGCTGCATCACTCCTCGGCCCATTAGGAATTTGAATTAGTATGTCCGACTTTTGCCCCGTTGTAGCATTGACTAGTCCCCCATTTCTCTCAACCCGATATACCAATTCTTTCCCGTTGTACGAAACATCTATATAAACAGTTGAATTCTCATCAATCTCCTCTTTAACCAACATTTTTGATAGCTCGGTGACGACCCTCTTCTCCAACCATCTCCTAATCGGTCTTGCACCATAAACCTAAAAATAAAGGATTGTTGAAATTTAGTAACAATGCAAGTGCAAGTAATCAAAATATGTAAACCTGAAGCCATTTCAGGTTACTTACCGGATCATAACTTTCAGCCAATATAACATCCAATGCTCCTTCAGTCACACCTAAAGCAATTCCACGTTCCGCGAGACGCTTTGCTACGTCTTTCAATTGAAGTCTAGCAACCTTCGTCAGTTGATCGTGCGATAGCGGATCAAACACTACAAGCTCATCTAAACGGTTGAGCAACTCGGGTTTAAAGTGCTTCCTCACCTATCAATTCCCAAAACACAAGTCATATACCAATTTCATAAAAGGTCTATCATGAATGAAACAAAATGTAAAATAGTTTATTTTTTGAAGAGTTCAATCTGTTTGATTGTTTACCTCTTGCATCACCATTTCTCGAGCACTCTCCATAGTACACTTGCCCATTAATCCTTTTAAGAGATACTCTGCTCCGAGGTTGGAAGTCATGATGATCACTGTGTTGGTGAAATCAACTGTTCGGCCTTGGCTGTCAGTTAACCTTCCATCATCCAAAACTTGAAGCAAGGTATTGAAAACAGAAGGGTGTGCTTTCTCTACTTCATCGAAAAGTACGACACTATATGGCCGCCGCCTCACAGCTTCTGTGAGTTGTCCACCTTCCTCATGCCCAACATAGCTGAAATCATAAGCATATATAGCAGTAAGTAATCATTCCTTTTAATCTCATATCAGATACTAAAACAAACACAAAATGTTGAACATAGAGCACTTACCCTGGTGGAGCACCAATTAATCGAGCCACTGAATGTTGCTCCATGTACTCAGACATGTCAATACGAATCAATAGATTTTCATCATCAAACAGTTGTTCTGCAAGAGCCTTAGCAAGCTCAGTTTTCCCAACACCCGTTGGACCCAAGAAGAGGAACGAACCAGTTGGCTGCTGTGGCCTTCCTAACCCGGCCCTCGACCTTAATACAGCTTCAGCAACTGCACTGACAGCTTGATCTTGTCCCACCACTCTTGTATGCAACCTATCAGCAAGGCCAATCAACCTTTCTTTGTCATTCTGGCCAAGCCTTGTAACAGGTATGCCAGTCCAACGGCTTACGACTTCTGCAATCTGATCTGGTCCAACAGTCTCTGTCAACATTAAATTTTCTTCTGAACTCCCTTCAAGCCTTGCTATTGCAGTCTCCACTTCTTGAATTGCTCCATATCTCAAATCCGCAACTCTAGCTAAATCATATCGCCTTTCAGCTTCCTGTATTGAATACAAGAGCTCCTCTCGCTTCTGTTTGAGTCGGCGAAGTTCATCAACCCTTTCCTTCTCCTTCTTGTACTTCATCACCAGAGGTTGAAGTTTGTCCCTTAAATCATCAAGCTCTTTCTTCACTTCAAGAAGCCGAGCTTTACTAGCCTTGTCTTTCTCCTTCTCAAGAGCATGGAGTTCAACTTCTAACTGAAGTCTTTTCCTTTCAAGATTATCAATCTCTTCCGGTTGACTATCAAGCTGGACCCGAACATTGGCACATGCTTCATCAACAAGGTCAATCGCCTTGTCTGGCAAGTGACGGCCTAAACAAAAGCAAGAAAATGCATATGAATCAATAATTTGAATTCCAACACCAAAATGAAGTAATAATAAAGGACAACATAACCACATTATTAAACTAGAAATTATGATGACAATTTCTATATACCAGTAATATAACGAGCAGATAGTTGTGCAGCAACCACAAGAGCTCGATCCTGAATTCGAACACCATGGTGTCCTTCATACTTTTCCTTCAACCCTCGAAGAATACTAACTGTATCAGGAACACTTGGTTCAGCCACATAAACTTGTTGAAACCGCCTCTCAAAAGCCGCATCTTTCTCCACATATTTCCTATACTCCTCGAGAGTTGTTGCACCAATGCATCTGAGTTGGCCCCTAGCAAGCATGGGCTTGAGGAGGTTAGCAGCATCCATCGACCCCTCTGTTCGACCAGCACCCAAAACAAGGTGAATTTCATCAATAAAAAGAATCACCTTTCCTTCTGCCTCTTCTACTTCCTTCAAAACTGCTTTCAATCTTTCCTCAAACTCTCCTCTATACTTGGCTCCAGCAATTAATGCACCCATATCCAATGCTATAAGTCTCACATCAGCAAGATTACTAGGAACATCTCCACGAACAATCCTTTGGGCTAAGCCTTCAACCACTGCAGTTTTACCCACGCCCGGCTCACCAATAAGAACCGGGTTGTTCTTGGTTCTTCTTGATAAAATTCTAACAACCCTCCGAATCTCTTCATCCCTGCCAATAACCGGGTCAAGCTTTCCGGCCTGCTCTACAAGGTCCCGGCCATAAGTCTTCAGAGCTTGAAAATTAGTATCCCCTGAGGCACTTTCCACCTTTCTTCCTTCCTTTCCACGAAGCTTGTCAACCTCCGATTTCACCCTTGAAGTACTGATTCCTGCTTCTTTGAGAAGATCACCAATTTGGGAATCTTCCAAAAGGCCAAGGATCAATTGATCAACTGCTAAATGGGTGTCGCCTCGGGACTTTTGTGATGATTGAGCCCTTCTTAGCACCTTAATGAGCGTAGTGCTTGCGGGGATTTCATCAGGGGGAGGGGTTTGGGAGGGGAGTTTTTTCAATGCCTGATTGAAGACCCTCTCAACTGAGTTTGCACCTTCGTCGCTACCGCAAGCATTGACAATTGCTTGTCGAAAAATACCATTGGGATCAGAAATCAAAGTCAAAGCTATATGGAGAGGTGTAAATTGTGGATGACCGGCATTCATAGCCAATTCATGAGCCCCAGCAAGGGCCTCATTTGTCTTGTGTGTGAATTTGTCAGGATTCATGGTTGGTACTTAAACCTGAAACAGAAAACTGTAATTAGGTACATAATTCAGTACCATCCATGCCATTTCCCAATTCAGTTGAAGATCATAATACAACCATCATAGTATTGAAAATTGAAAAAACACCCAAAAATCAATTATGAGTAAAAATCTATTAGATCCCTACATTATACAGTAAATCAGGCAGCCATTTCAGTTCCAGAGCTGAAATCAATAAGAAAACAAGAGCTGAAAAGTTTGGTGGCAAAAAAAAAAAAAAAAAGAGCATAATTTGATAAACAGAGTAGCAAAAGCAGAGTCACAATTTTTATGGACAATGTTATGTTTTTACATTTTGTGGAGATTCAACAATTAGTACTACAAATTAAGGACTTGGTTTTTGGATATAAGACTGACAACTCAAAAATAATAAAATCAAAATCTTGCAACTAATTACTCTCAGTTTTAACACATGCAAATTTTTACCAAAACAGAAGACCAAATTCTGACAAAAATATGAACTTGAACATTCAAAATTAGCACCAAAAGTCACAAACCCAATTAAATTCGCCGATCAAAACCACTAAAGCTGTGTTGGGATCATAGATTTGAGTAGAAATTTACGACGGAAAAGCAAAAAGAAAAAAAAAAGAACAAGAAAAAAGAAAGAAAAAGTGGCAAAATCAGTTTGAATTACATTCAAAACACTATCAATACTCAAGTAAAAAATAAAAATAAAATTAAAGAGACAGTTTTCTTGTAATCTGATAGGAGAATAGCATATTCACGAGAACACACCACCCAAATTGAAAAAATAAATAAATAAATAAATTTGCAAATAGAAATATTTTTTGATGATATAGGTACATATTTGTGTGTGAGAATAGAAAGAGAAAGATGAGATTTTTCACTAACCTTTTGGCGAATGAGAAGATTGAGTACACTGAAGCTTGACGAATCGGTGAATTTGGGTTTGACTATATTCGATTGTGTGTGAATTGTGTTGGTTGTTGTGATGATTCTGTCTTCTCTTCTGCTTGGTAATGATATAGGAGGAGAAGCGAAACCTCTGGAATTTTGAAGATAGAACTAGAAACTCCTAGACTCTCTATTTAATGGACACCTGTTTTTTTTTTTAATTTGTTTATTTATTTTTATTATTACTTTTTTTAAAAAAATTTATTTTTAAAAATATATTTATCTTATTTGGAAAAGTGAGATGCTACTGGATTAAGCTAGACAATTCTATTCCCACTCTCCAATCAAGCGATTGTATCACACTCTACAAAGATGGTAATATATATTTTTTAATAAATTGATAATATAAAAACAAAAAAAATTATTCATTATCTATCTATATCATATATTAAGAAAAATGAGTTTCTAACAAGAAGAATATTATAAAGTTCAAAATCCTTATACTATTTTTTTAGAATTATTATTTTTTAAATAATTAAAAAATCTTCTATTGATTAGTTTTTATTGAATTATTAAAAAAAAAAATCTTATTATACATTGGCATTGTTTGAGAAGTAATTTTTTTGGTTTTTTTCGCTAAAAGACAAATTGGTTACAAAAATAAAAAAAATCAAATCTAAACAAAATATCACATCAAATTCCATAATTATTTTATTTTTTCTCTCACAAACATTACATCCAACCACAAAAAAACTCAACTATCTTCCCAAACACAAAAAAAAAAAAAATCTCTAATAATATCCTACAACTAAAAAAACCTACAAAAAAACTCATTTCCCAAACGTTGATTTACAAATTTCAAAAAGAAACTTAATTAATCTATTTAAAAATTTGAAAAATAAAATTAACTAATTAGTTTTAAAATTTAAATTTTTATACCACTAAAAAATAGAAATTAATTCACATCTTTTATAAATTTTTTCTCATGATGTTTAATTTTTTTCAATAATTAAAAAATTTTCTATTGATTAGCTTTTATTGAATCATTTTTAAAAAAATCTTATTATGCCTTAATTTACATATTTCAAAAGGAAAGTTAATAAATCAAATTAAAAATTTAAACTTAGAATTTGAAAAGGAAACTTAACTAAGCAGTTTTAAAAATTAAATTTTGTACCACTAAAATATATTAATCAATTCACATATTTCATAAATTTTTTCTCTTGATGTTTAAGTTTTTAAATAATTAAAAAATCTTCTATTGATTAGTTTTTATTGAATTATTTAAAAAAAAAATCTTATTATGCCTTAATTTACACATTTCAAAAGGAAAGTTAATTAATTTATTTAAAGATTTGAAAAGAAAAATTAACTAATCAATTTTAAAATTTAAATTTTTGCACCATTAAAATATACGACTCAATTCACATCTTCTATAGATTTTTTCTCTTTTAATTTTTTAAGTAAGTAGAAAATATATTTTTTATTGATTGATAATGTTACCCAAAAGACAATTTAAGAGGGGGTGAATTAGATTTTTACAATTAAAAATTAATAATACCCTAATAAAAATTATGATTAGCATAATAGATAAATATAGTTAATGAAATAAAAATAATTAAAAATAAGTGTTCTAACAACTATGTCAGTTAATGATTTTAGTACAGTGAAAATGTGAAATATAACTATAGTAATTTAAATAAAATAAAGAGATAAGGGAGAGAGAGGCAAACAAATTTATAGTGGATCGGCTTCAACTCGACCTACGTCCAGTTCTCAAGCTTCACTTGAGATCTTCACTATACTCTAACTTCACGGGGTGCTAGCAACCTTTTTGCAAATTGAGCAATCCTCCATGGATTTTACATAGACTTTCTAAGTCAAGAACACTGAGTGTACTACACTCTTACAAGATTGAAAAGAAGGTATTTTTGCTTTCACAGAAAGCTACAAGAATTATCTCTCAAAGATAGATATAAAAATGAAGTTCTGATTTTTCTGTAAACCTCACACAAGAAAGATAGGCTTAAAACTATACGTCTCAGTGTATAATTTTTGAAAGATGATGTAAACAAAAAATGAAGAACACTTCTCAGAGAATTTTTCAGAGAATAGATGTGAGTGATTATAGATCAAAGAATATTTTCTATTTTTTTTTTTATAACTTGTTTACATTAGAGGCTTTGGTATATATAGTGAAACTTATAGCCGTTTATAGCCGTTGTACTCCATCATTACTAATTTGAATATCTTCCACTTCATCATTACTAATTTGAATATCTTCCACTTGAACCTTTTGGCCTGCTGCTGTGTTGGGATGTTTGAACCTTTGTTTTGGGCTATTTGAACCTCTAGTTTGGGCATTATTTTTGAGTTGAAATGAACTCCTGATTTAAGCAAATATTAAATACATTCAAACAATATTTAGGATAAAAGTTTAGGTGAGAAATAATTGGACAAAATAAATTTTGATTCTATTTTTCTCTTTCAAATAAATTAAAACATAATTAAATAAATCATCAAAATAAATTTTGGATTCTATTAAAACATAATTAAATAAATCATCAAAATAAATTTTGGATTCTATTTTTCTTTTTCAAATAAATTGAAACATAATTAAATAAATCATCAAAATAAATTTTGGATTCTATTTTTCTCTTTTAAATAAATTAAAACATAATTAAATAAATCATCAAAATAAATAAGTCTAACAATCTCTCCCTTTTTGATGATGGCATACAATGATGTTTTGATTTGATTTGGAAGTAAGAAAAGCTCCCCCTCAAGTCATGCTTCCTGAATTCATTTTAAATACATAGGTTAGTACATGTGTAATAAATAAGCTTTAATTAGAGACATGATATGAGACAAAGATATCAAACTATAAATATATAATCATTAGATTAGTTTGAAAATAATACCATAACACATAACATTATAACAAAATAATACCATAATACATAACATCATATAATTTCTCTCCCTATGACATTATCAAAAGGAAATTATGGGTCAAAATCTGGAGGAGGAGGAGGAAAATGACAGTGATAAATGGCATTTATACAATTCAAAACATATATATACATATATGTACGATTCGCGCACCTCTCTCTTTTCCAAAATCGCGTCGGACACGCGTCCTCGCTTTTGCGTCAGTTAATCGACAAAAGCCAGACAGGTCAATCAACGGCCTCGGCTATCTCTCCCTCTTGTCTTCTTCTCTTCCGTCTTCTTCTTTATCACTCTCTTTTCCTTCTTCTTTCTCATTCGCTTCCATCTCTTTCTTTTTCTACATGAGAGAGATAGAACAGAGAGACTAAACAGAGCAGAAAGGCTGCCAAAAATGACCCTCCTGTCGATTACATCTCTCTTTTCTACTTCATGGCCTCGTCCCGTCCCCTTACTCTCTTTCCGAACCTGAATGATCCCGTAAGCGCTGCTGGGCTGAGTGCCCGGGCTCCTACTCTTCCCAACCTTCTTATGATGTCGATTGAGTAAATAATGGCAGCTCAATCAGACATTGAAGCCAATCATTTCACACTGACGTCCTGTATGAAGACGGTGACTGTAGTCACAAAATTGGCTCACCGACTGCAGAACAGGACAAGTGAGCTCCACCAGGTTAATGCCTAACTCTTGCGGCTCCAGCGCATGTACGAGGATGCGCGAGCAGAGATTTGCGCACTGAAGGCCGAAAATAAAGAGCTTAAACGGAAGACCACCTCCATGGCCCGATTTGGAGCAACGTCGTTCTTGGCCTTTGATAGTCAGCGGGGAGTCGTCGCTTTGGACCAAAGCACGGGGGCAGGGCCTTCAAGGGCCGCCCAAGGTGATAAAAAGAGGAAGAAAACGATGGAAGAGACGAGGAAGTAAGATCGGTGTATGGCTGTAAAAAAAAATGAAGTTTTTTTTTTAATGTAAATATGTTTATTTTGATCGGCGTATGGCCGTAAAAAAAAGAAAATGAATGGTGTGTGTTTTTTTTTATGTAAATATTTATATTTTGATTTGTTTTTATTTTTATATTTAAGTACTAAAAAATGAAATTAAAAAGTAGAAAAAAATAAGAAAATTAAGCCCAAACAAAAAATAATAATGAGAAAAAAAATAAAAATCAAAGAAATTAAGCCAAATAGCAAAATAAAAAATAAAATAAATTAAAATAAAATAATACCAGTAGAAATTAAACTTAATGGGACGTTGGTGTTGCTGGAATGGTAATGCAAAAAAAAAATACCATGAGGGCTTAAAAAAAATCAATGTATGCAAAGTTAATTTTACTTCAAGATGCAGAACTCAAAAAAATTTACACAGTTGAAAATAGTAAATTGTTAAGGAGAATAAATGAATGAAGGACTTGAGAGCATTCAACTGATATAAATGTTTCCATATCAATGTAGCAATACACATATATCATTTTAACAAAATTCAAGTTTCACAGTCATAACAAAACTTTTTAAGTAGAAATCGACATTCCAAGCTCGCCACGAATAAAATTCAGGCGATCATCGCTTAGGGATTTTGTGAAAATATCCGCTAATTGCTTGTCGGTGTTTACAAATTCAAGTACAATATCTCATTTTTGAACATGATCTCTTAAAAAATTATGTCGAATTTCAAATATGTTTTGTTCGTGAGTGTTGAACTGAATTTTTGCTTAAATTGATGGCACTAGTATTATCACATTTAATATGGATATGATCATAATGCAAATCAAAGTCCTCCAATTGTTGTTTCATCAAAAGTATTTGGGCACAACAACTTTTGGAAGCTATATATTCAGCTTTAGCCGTTGATAAAGCAACAGAATTTTGTTTTTTGCTAAACCAAAATACTAATGAGTTACCAAGAAAGTGACAAGTGCCACTAGTGCTTTTTATATCACGTTTTCATCAGGCAAAGTTGGCATCCGAGTAACTAATTAAATCAAATGCAACACCTCTAGGATAAAACAGTCCCAAATTTTGAGTGCCAACAAGATATCTAAAAATTCTTTTAACAGCACACTACAACAAGGTGGGTCTTGAATGACGAAATTTTTTTGTCTCGAAAGAGCTAATTTCGTCACTATAGATATTTGTGACGAAATATTTTCGTCACCAGCTTCGTCATTGAATGTTTGTCACTAAAAACCACTATGACGAAAAATA